ACCTGGGCAGCATTCAGGACCCCAGAGGCACCAGGGATCGTTCCCAATACTGCCTATGAAGGCAGCTGCTTGCTTTTGGAGGATGGAGGGCTCCATTTCAGTGGTCATTCTTGACCCATCGGCCTTAGGAAAAGTGATCAGGCCCCTGTCCTTTGTTGACTATTGTAGCTACAGCCTGAGACTCCTGACCTTGGTCAGCTTGTGGTGTGGTCGGACGGGCCGTCAGGACTCTCCTCCCCTCCAAACATAGCCCAGGGCCTCTGCTGATGTGCTTTTCCATGCTCCTGCAACCCTCTCACACATCAGCATCCTCTTCTTTTCAAGCCAGCCTGTTGCCTTAGGCATCCTCCTACACGTTCTGCTGGTGATATTCAGAGCCACCTCTGTAAATTGAACGGTGCCAAGGCACGGGAACGATCCCGGAATCGTTCGCCCTGTTAAATTGTCAGCACAGTCTCTGGCAATTTTGGCCAAGGCCAACGAGCATGGACGTCGCCACATGGAGTTGAGTCATGCCAGCTGGCCAAGGATGAAGGCTGGTCTTTGATCTGCTTGGTTTAATGGTATAGACAGAGCCTCTGACTCCATAATCGCTGAATATTTCTGCTCCAGTCCTTGCTGAGACTGCTGGGCATTCTCTCTCATCCACATGAAACATCTTTTTCCATAGCACTTGGGGTGTGGAGTATCTTTACAGTAGGAGCATCTCCTCTTCTCCCTCCTGGTGGCATCCTCCATCTCTCTCCGTAGGTTATTCAACCACATTTCTGGAGCCGATGGCTTTGGCTTCTTAAAAACGTATTTTTTTTGGCGCAGGGACAGCAGTGACTTTGCCCCACGCAGTTTGTGTTCTGCGGTGACATACGTAGTAAATAAGCGTGAGGGTAATTATACCAGCAGGAGCTCTGGGAAGCCTGCCAGAATGGAGGGGACAGCCAGTCCTTTGTGCATTTAAAGAAAATCACCCCGCATCCCCCTCCCAAGCCCAAATTAGTCCTATCTCTTGAAGCCATGATGGGACTTAGAACTAAAAATACATGCGCACACACAAATACACACGCTCGTATATAAAAATAGCCAGCATTCAAAAATAAAAAGCCCAAAGTTGGGCTCCTGTATCCAAAATTAAGCTCTTAAATAAATAAATTAGCCTGATTTTCAGAAGCAGAGAGTGGTGAATGGCTTTCACTGACATAAGAGGAAGCATCGTGTTGCTGAAGATTGAAGATCAGGCCTGAATATGGATTTGAAAGTCTAATTATAGAATCCTGTTTGCTACCAACTTGACCGAGAACAACAAATTTCAGGTGAAATGACATTGATTTTTTTTTTTTCTTCAGAGTTTGTCTACACTTAACTGGTGTTAGTAAAGGTAGGGAAAAGCCCTGGAAGAAATAAATAAAATGCCACAAAGAAGAAACAGATATAGTGAGTAAAACTGCTCACAGCAGTGCTGTACATCCGTGTTTGGGTATAGGTTTGAGCATTACCAATGTTACAGCTGGGTGAAAATTTTATATTGATTCATTAGACAGGTATTTATTAGTTTCTGAAAACTTACCAGGCAGAAACACTGCTTTTCCCAGTCACTCTTGCACTTCCTCTGCTGAAAACTCCTGATTGACTGGCATCAAGGAGGAATGGGTTTGGACTCCTCCCACTCCTCCCTGTGTCAGATTTGGGTCTGAAGGATGCTAAAGAGAGAGCACTAAAAGATTGGGGTTCTGCTGCCAGAAGACTTTACGCAAGCCCTTTTGGTGCTCCGTGACTCAGTTTACCCATCTATGGAAGGGGCACAATACACACGTTGACCTTTGCAAAAGGCTGTGGGCTCACCAGCCAAGAGGATTTGGTGTTACCGTTGTTGCCGTTGTTCTGGCCAGTGATGGAGACAGGACCAGGGCGATCTATTGATCCAACACATTTTTTATGTGTGCTGCCTCCGTGAACAGGTGGCACGTCCTCTCACCGTGGCCAGTTGGAAAGATTCGTGCTTAAACTGTGTGGATGGTGGTGAACCCAAAGAGATCAAAGAGAAATCATTGTAGGATGTGGTGTTCCTCCTCTTAATTTCTTCTTGATCTTTTTTGAGCGACTCGAGGCCATTGTTATAGTTTGGTTCTGCCAAACCAGAGTGTTCAGAGACACAGTTGGTGGGGACAGCGATGTGGCAGAGTAGAGGTCTAGAAAATGGGAGCTGTGAGGAGGGACTGAAATAAATTTATTTATTTTAATCTGGAGAAAAGACGACTGAGGGTTCACACAGTAACTATATGCAAACAGGTAAAAGACTGAAGGGGGAAAATTAATAAATGTTCTTCGTCCATGGCTGGAATGGTGATAAATTAGTAGATTAACCTTCAGAAGAGGAGTCTAGGTTTCATGTACTAGCGGGAATGGGAGCTCCTGGGAAGGGAAGGCCTTGCAAGGCTACAGGACAGATTCAGTGAATATCGTTCTGCAAAGAGTTTGGCAGAGGTGATGGTGTCTTTGCCCAGATGCACCTTACGGGCACCACCACCTTGGCCTTGTGTCTCTGATGTTATAAAAAATGGTTGCATGTTCTTTTTCTTTGCTTTGTCCTTGAGCCATTGCAACTTGCTCTCCCCAGCTTTGCCTTTCTTTCCTGCTGTCCTGGTTTGGGCTGGGACAGAGTTCACTCTCTTCCCAGCAGCTGGTGTGAGGCTGTTTGGGTTTGTGCTGAGGAGAAGCTGATCACACACTGATGGGCAGAGCTGCTGCCAGGACAGTCAAGGACTTTCCAGCTTCTCTGCTGTACCCGTGTCTGCAGGGGCAGGAGGAGCTGGGAGGGAGCACAGCCCCAGTGACCAGCCCAGGATTCGTCCTTAGGTTCAGGACTGAGACCCAAACTGGCCAATGCTCTATCCCAACCCATGCATGGCATGGCCAGATATAGATGAGAGCCTGTCCAGACGTGCTCTCCCTTGGGGTCAGTGGTTTTGCCAGGTTATCTTGCTCTGGGTGGTCCCTCTCCCAGGGTCATCTCCTCCCTCCCTTGGTCAGCTCTCGGTCTGGGACACTCGGGCTCTTATCTCCATTCCAAGGTTATGGTTTCGGGACTCTCCCAGCTCTGGGATCGTTAGCTGGGACAGGGCTGAGCCTTGGTCATGGGGAGGTGAGCAGTGTCACTGTGTGTCACTCATTTGTGTATTTGTATATATTACTATTATCATCACTATTATTATTTCCCATATTATTGTAGTTTTAAATTGTTCTAATCTCAACCCCTGAGTCTCTTTTCCCTTCACCCCTGGGGTTCTCTCCCCCATCCCTAGGAGCGGGGAGGGTGAATGTCCGGCTGTGTTGTGTAAAACTACGACACCCGCTAAACTGCATTTATTTAATATCTTGCATGCCTGAAAAGCAGGCAGGATGCCTGTGTCATCCTGCAGCTGCTGGGGCTCGGGTCTTTCAGGGAAATGCCGAGTACGGGCAGTGGCCTTGGGCATGTTGGGGAGTGGGAGGAGGACTGGTGTCTGTGGGACAGCAGGTGGTCCACGGGCATTTCCACCCCGCTGGGGTTGTGCTGGGGATGTCACACCAGTGTCACCAGTGTCGTCTGTGACCGGTGTAGCATTTTCTCAAGTGTCGAGCCCCATCTGGTGGCTTTCGTGCGTCATTTGTTGTGTCCTTGTGTCTTCTTTTGGGATTTTTCATCTTCTGGTGCTTGCGAACGGGAAGGAAGGACAAGGTGCCTAAGAAGGGCAGGGCTCGCAGAGCTGCCTCCCATCTCTCGCAGCTCCCTGTCCCTGGGTGTAATTTAGAGGCACAGAGGTTGCCGAGGCTGATGTCCTTTCCTCCTGCTCTTCCTTGCAGTGCAGTCTCGCCCCAAGTGGTAACGAATGATCTAATCGTTTCTGACGAAACCCTGGTTTGTGCTGCGAGCCCCTCCCAGAGCCTCCAGAAGGCACTTCATCCCACTGTCACGCTGGCATCCGAGGTGGGACAGATGAATGGTCCCAGGAGGGGACATTCCTGTCCATTGACTACCTCAGCCCATAGAATCATAGAATGGTTTGGGTTGGAAGGGACCTTAGAGATAGAGATCATCTGGTTCCAACCTCCCTCCCATGGGCAGGGACACCTTCAGCTGGACCAGGTTGCTCAGATGACCAACTGCAGGGTTGGCGTTAGGTTAAATGATTCCCATCCCAAATTTCAGAGCACAAGGTTGCAGCAACCACTCAGGATGAGAAGGAAAAAGATCCAATATTGGATCATTAATACCAGCAAGCATTAGAAAGGACCCTGTTAGGAGATGTTTCCCTTCTTAGATGCCATGACTCCTGGGACATCTGGGCACCTTGTGCTACCCTGACTTGAGCAGCTCCATTGGCAAAAGTCGGCCAAATGTTTCCTGAAGGGAAGTTGTGTCCCCAGGGTGAGGTTTGCAGGACTCATTGCACACCTGATATGGAAACAGAGGTGACAGAACAGTACCCGTCCATGCATGAGACACCTCCTTCTAGTCCCACATCACCCAAAGTGTCAATAGCTGGCCAGTGACAAGCTGTGACCTTCTACATTCGTGGGTGACATGTGTGCTGAAGGTGAAGGTGGTGTCTCACTGCTCCACCTGCGATGAAACGGGCTGAAATCTCTGGGGTACGTGAGGGAAGCTCCTTACTACAGTGCCGAAGGGGCTGAGACGACCTCTCAAGCCACCACCAAGCATCACGACCAGTATTTGTTAAGTAGCTTCTCCTCTGCTCCATGAGAAGAAAGTGAGGGAGTTGTTTTCTTGTGCAAATGTTTCACGAACATTTCTTACCCCCTATGCTTCACATTTGGGTGGTGCAAGTCACAGGTGTCCCACTCTTGCAATACAAGTGGTCCTCAGACCTTGCAGGAGATAGAACACCCATGTCTACCCCTGATTCCCCTATCCCCAAAACCAAACAACTGTCCCACAGCCTCCTCAGCTTTTGATGCATGCCAAGGTCTCACACTCTGCTTTTCCTCCTCTTTCCCCCAGGTATATCCGAACTATGTACCTGGGGATCCAGAGCCAGAGGCGGAAGGAACACCAGCGGCGTTTCTACTGGGCTATGATGTACGAATATGCAGACGTCAATATGTTGCGCCTCCTGGAAACTTTCCTTGAGAGCGCCCCTCAACTGGTGCTACAGCTCTGCATAATGATCCAAAAGAACCGTGCAGAAACATTACCATGTAAGTGGCCCCCTCGGCCCCCCATCCCCATCCTCTCTGCCTCCTCCCTCTGATCCCGTGCTCGGCTGCCCAGGGATGTTTTGCTAACCCTCCGCCCTACGCAACCGGGCGTGTAAGGGGCTGCCACCTGGGACAAATCTCATTCCAGCTCCACGCTGCGTTCGCTGGGTACAATTCCTGCTCATTCCGCTGAGAAAAAAAAAAAAAAATAGTAAAAAAAAATGAGATTCAGCCTCACCCAGTCCAGTCTAAAGAAATGATGGTGTTGTGAGGAGGAGGCAAGCCATTTCTGCTGCATGGCAAGTGTCACCATTCCTTTGCCAGCTGGCACTGGGCGAATGCAATCATTCCCTGCCTCAGTTTCCCTCCTTCCATAAGTAGGATGGTAAAACTGGCCAGATTTGAATTTGTGTTGTGAGGAGAAATGGTTCAATGCCTGTGCAATGCTCTGGTGGTGTGAAGTGTAGTCTAAGGTGCTTGGCTTTATAGAGAAAGGCTGCAGGACCTTCTGAAGAAGTGCCCAGGAAATAAGGCTTGGTCGTTGGTACCATGCAAGTTGAAGAAAAGAAGGGAGAAGGCAGTGGAGGGGATTGTGTAGGGACATAGAATCACAGAATGGTTTGGGTTGGAAAGGACCTTAAAAGCCCATCCAGTTCCAACCCCCCTCCTCCCACCAGCCCAGGTTGCCCAAAGCCTCATCCAGCCTGGCCTTGAACCCCTCCAGGGATGGGGCATCCACAGCTTCTCTGGGCACCCTGGGCCACTGCCTCACCCCCCGCACAGGAAAAAAAATCTTCCTTGTATCTCATCTCAATCTCCCCTCTTGCAGCTTAAACAGTTGTTGATAGAGGCGTCCCTTCTCCTATTTATGCAGTTTTTTCCTGAAACCTTTCATCACAAGCTCTGCAGGCCCCCAGAGTGCTGACATGATGAACATGCTTTTCTACAGCTCCTGCTAGCACTGCTCACGTTTGCCAGCACCCTTTTCCTGCCGCTTCCAACATTATTAACCCTACTGAAAATGTGTAAACCATCACCTAAGAGGCTGGCCAGGGCGTTACGCAGATCGTTGGCCTCGCTACAGAAAGCACGGGGTGAGGTTTGCTGGCCGCTGTTGTGCTGGGAGTCAGACGACACAGCCGGATAACCCCTCTAGGCTTTCAAATCGGCAGCTCTTTCCATTCGCCACTTCCAGGCATGGCTGCCTAATCCACCCAACAAGCTGCATCATTTTCCAACCCCCCCTTCTCCTCCGCCCCTTCTTCAGCTATGCAGTTCCTCGGTTCCTCCACCGCACCGAGCCCGCCGCGCTTCTCTTCCAAGGCAGTGCACGTCCCCGCCTGCCTCCCCCAGCCCTGGAGGGCTCTTTGCCGGCCACGCTTCAGCAGCCCAGCTCTCGGGGTCCCCAGCGTCCCCCCTCCCTGCCTCCCTCCCTGCCTGTGCCAGGGATGCGGTCGCGCATCTCAAGGATGCAGGCTGAGCATCGGGCGCTGCTGATGGAGGCGAGCTGCCGAGCTGGCTCAGCGCTCCCGACTCAGGTGCACGGTTTCCTAGAGCTCCTCCACGGCTGTTGAGGGCTCATGGCTTCCTCCTCCTCCCGGCCAGCACGTAATGATGTAAAAAGGAAATTAAATGCTGAGAGAGGAGCCGTTATGAAAGGGAGCATCGCAGATTTTCCCTTAAAGCAGGCAGAAGCCAAAAGGAAGATGGATATTGTTAGGAAGGCAATGTGTTTAAAAATCAAATCAAGTCTCTCCTGGCTTGTCGTGTCTATGTGAGCATGGCTCATCACAGGAAGAGGCCAGTTCTGCCTCTAAACAGGGACAGTGTGTCACTGAGCGATGTCACTGGCAAAACTGCCCACAACAGGGCTGATAAACCCTTGTACAGCCCGTGCTGGTGTGTCCAGACTCCAGCTATTCCCATATGATTCATGCAGTCTCTTATGGATCCATTTAGCGCTAGAACAGGATCAATTCACCATTTTATATTGTGCACATCCCTCCTCCAAACCCCAGTCCTCCCTGCTCTTAAGACCAGCTGCCAAGCCCAGGGCAGCCAGCTTCCAGCCTTCCCCAGATGGGTCAGCTCGTGTCTCCTTCTCCTGTTCCAGAAGCTTCCGAAAGGGATTGGCTATCGGGAAGTTTTGCTTTTTATCTCCTATTTCCCATGTTAAGGTAGCTGTTGAGGTAAGAAGAGAGAATACACTTTACTCAAACCCAGAGCATCTCCTCCAGAGATGTTGAGGAGCACGGTGACAAAAGGGCTGATCCTGCCTCTTGTGGTTGCAGCGAGTAGAGGAGCACAGCGAGGACTTGGAGCAGGGGATGCAAGCAGGCTAACACTTATTTCCTGGTTTCTGTATCTATTGAGAAAGAAAAGCCTCACCATGCCTTACAAGAACCTTTTTACCTTGAGATGTGGTACCTGCTTGAAAGGGTTGGGTGGAACCTGTGTTATTGCTCCTCCAGTGCTCAGAGAACAGACCCGTTTCACTAATGGGTGCCTGCCTCCCAAGGGTCTGACACCACCAGCAGCAGAAGTGCTGGAGCTGGAATTTGAGGTCAAGTTCCAGCCTCAGTAAAGCTTGGGAGAACACCCCTGGGAGTTCATGAAGGTCAGGATTTGTCCCTTCATCCTGTCCCCAGCACAAGGCAGACCAGATCCCAGCTTAGCTGCTGTTGGCCAATGACTGGGGAAGAGCAGAAAATAGCACAGAGAGAAAGGAGGTGAGAACTCGGTGTGCTTTGTCGAGTGAGCAGAGCTGACCTGGACGGTGCACGCTGAGATCCTGAGGAGTTTGTGCTGTGGCTGCTGGGACAGATGGGTCAACGACAGCTCCTCAGTGTGCCTGTGGAAGGAGCTGGTGTCGGGATGGAGGCTCTTTGTGAGCAACTCATCTGCTCCAGCCACAACTGTGCGGATCCAAAACAAAGTCAACGGAAGGTGAGGGAGGAAGGATGCCTCCAGAACATGGATCAGCCCATGGCCACAGCGGCTGAAGGAAGTGAAATGAGATGAGATGAGATGAGATGAGATGAGATGAGATGAGATGAGATGATGAGACGAGACGAGACGAGACAAGACGAGATGATGAGATGATGAGATGCTAGTCCTCCAGCAGCACCTTTCTCCAGGGAATCTAGACAGAACCGAGGTGATGCATTTACACCTACCCTTAGCAAAATAAGTTGGTGGGACTCGGAAGAGGACACAGCTCTGTCCCTTGCTCACTGTAACTGTACCCAGGATTTTGGAGAGGATGGTATGAAAGGGTGGCCATGATTCCTGGACCGCCCTGGCCAGAGGACTCCCCTGATTTAAATAACATGGTGTATTTCTGAGGGGAAACATAATATTAAGGACAACAAAAAAATCCCAGCAACCCAGATATTCATTTCGTAGTCACTCCTAGCAGATAATCCACCTCACTTCTTGCAGAATAAACCATCCTGCGCCCACTTCACCCTGCAGAGGTGCCTGTTCCTCCGCACTGGATGGAAAGGAGCATGTCTAACCAGCTTAAAGGAGACACCCAACTTCCAGGCAGTTAGCGAGGTGAGAGGGATTCCAGTTTTTCAGCATAAATCTCCTCTTAAAGAGGTTTCCTTTTACTTAATTTTTTTCACGTGGCTACTTGAAGACTTAATGAGATTTAGCCAAACCTCTAACGTCCTTCTGCTCATGTCACGAGCACTTTACGCAGCGCTTTTGCTGGGAGTGTGCGTGAGCCTGCAGTATTCAGCGCAGAGTTTCCCCCCCACAAAAAGGCCTGCCTGTCCACCGATGCTGTGCCCATCTCCTCTATAACCCTGCTGTTGAATCTGAAAGAGATTTGCAGCGTAAGCCTTCATTATGCAAAGTCCTGCTCAAATATCAGGGAGCCTGCTGAAATCTCAGGGATTTTGCGGGGTGTCCGCGCTCCCTGCAGCGAGCCGTAAGGAGTCTGAAGCTGCTCGTGTGTTTAAGAAAAAGCACCGTTCGCTTCAGTTTATCTGGGGGGTTGCTATTTTTAAAAGAGTGATATAGTTTAGGCACTAAAAGGGTTTCAGACATCTCAGCTACAGATGTGTGTGGGCAAATGTTTGGTGTTTGCAAATGATGGACCCAAATCTTATTGTCCCTCCCAAAGCGAAGTCCTGTCTGTTTGATCACGTCCTGACCCCTTCTGTACCATGTTTGGGGGTCATTTATGATTGGGGCTTCTCCTTTTTTTTGCAGGGACAATCAAAGATGCTTTTCCCTATTACTTAGTTTAGAAAATTTAACTGGTTCTTTGTGGGGTATTGGAGGATGAGCAGCAGGGGTGGGTTAGCCGTTGTCCTCTCTGCCCAGAGGAGGCGTTCCCTGTCGAGCTGAGTGGGTTTGGGATGAGCCAACCTCAAGTTAAACACTCCCTCACCTGAGTGAGAGGTTTCCTGTGTGGGAGATAATGTGGAGATGAATTTCACAATTCAGTTTTCCCCGATGACAGGCCGATAGTTAACCAATAATATGCAGTGAATAATGGATATGTTGAGAACTACCAGCTGCCTGAAACATCCTGTTACATATACTCGTAGAGTAGGAAATGTCCCAAGGCACCACAACTTGTTGAGGAATGGTTTGAGATCTAAAATAAGGCCATATCTAAAGGACAACAATTGAATGGATTACTTCTTACTCAGTCCCCTTCCCAGTCAGTCCCCAAAGATCAAAGAAACCTTCTTAGCTGGAGCAACCAAGTTAGATATAACTTATATATATATATATACACGTACATTCCAGCAGTGCTCAAATATGAATCTGAAACCCCAAATTCTTGTGACCTTGCTACACAAAATTCATAGAAGCCTAGAACGGTTTGGGCTGGGAGGCACCTTAAAGATCATTGAGTTCCTCCCCCTGCCCTGGGCAGGGACACCTCCCACCAGCCCAGGTTGCCCAAAGCCTCATC